CTCTCTCTCTCTCTCTTAAAACTCGACTCCCTTGATCTTTGGCCTTCTTTTCCTTTAAAACTGCTGCCTGTCGCGATACCCGGTCGAAATACCCGGTCGGGTATTTTGGGTCTCGACCGGGTATAGTTGAAACGTGCGTTTTGCCTAAGGGAAAAATACCCGGTCTAGGCCAATAATCCCCGGTCGGGGATTTGTGCCTCCAGCCCGGGACCCCTTCTGTTTCTCACGGACGCCCAAGCCGGAAATCCCCGGTCATGGCCAGATAATACCCGGTCGGGTATTTCTGCTCATGGCCGGGTATTTTTGCTATCCAGCACACTTCAACCCAACTTCGCTCCTTTCGACCCAAAACTCGTTTCCTCGCCTCGATTCCAACGTCGGGTCCTGAAATACGACACAAACACACAACCTCGCGTGAAATCGGCTTAAAACACGAGAGTCAACCTCTCAAACGGCTCAAGAATAGGGGTAAAAATATGTGTAATTATTGGTCTATCACATATAGACACCGGCTAAGGTAACAAGTCTTTTGGTCAACTTATGGAGTTTACCACGTCATAAGTGCTTTAGCTTCGGGTTTCTGTTTCAGACTAACCGAACCTGGTAAGGAAATCTTCGGGTTTTGGTACCCGAAACCCGAAACTTCCCATATCGGGTTCAGGTTCGGTTTGTAAATAAAGCGGGTTTCGGCTTTTTGGGTTTGGTTGGTTTCGGTTTGGTTATCCAAACCCGAACATCCGACAACCCTACCTGTGAACTGAGTAGCCCAAACCTGCGCTACAATCTACAGATACTTAGGATGTCTCCTCCGGGGTCATCACCGTGTTGAAATCACCATCCACAATCCAAGTTTGGCCCTCTACCTTATATCTACTCAATTCAGTATATGTATATCGTCTTTCAACTTCCTCATTTGATGCATAGACTGTTATGAAGAAGCAAGACTCACCAGAACCACTTTGTACCAGGCAATGAACAAAGTTCTTACTTGGTTTAAGCACTCTTAGCTTACATTCAGATGACCAAAATAACCATATCCTTCCTAAGTCAGAATCTAAATAGTTCAACAACTTCTCCGAACCATCAAAATAACCTTCAATCTTCTCCTCTGCTTTATTTTCATGAACTCTTGTATCAAGAATAGCAACCCCATCAACTTTGTGCTTCCGCATGATTTTGACAAAATCCTGCCTATTCGAGGATTTATTAAATCCTCGAACGTTCCAATAGAGAAAAATCATCTGGAAGTCAGGGACTTAGCCCCTAACTTCTTACTATCTTTTCTTGGTGCTCCACTGCTGCTTGCAGCTTCACTACCTCAGACTCATCAATATCACTTAGTACACTAAAGGAAGAAGGAGAAATGTGCAGCACACTAGTAGGATTAGCCTGTGGAGACCAGACGTGTGGCCTAGCACCATGGACAACTTGTTGGAAATCATCCTCAGATGGTAAATGTGCAGAAGCATCCTTAGCAACCTCTAAAAAGGATCGATCCAGATTGAAACCCTGTACCCCGCGAACCATAGCCCACTAGAACTAGCTTCCTGAATAGCCATAGGAGTATCACATATGTTCCGTCTCTTTTTATTCTATATTTTTTTTAATTAGTGAAATATATTTAATTATTTTTTATTTTGATGTATTGATGATCAATTAGATTCTATTTTAACTATTTACAATGGTGTTTCCAATTGAAATAGGGGGTTAGATATATATTATAATATTAATTTTAAATATTAATTATTATATTCTAGTATATTTATTCTTCTTCTTAATATTCGTTTATTATTTTAACTAATTTATCTATTTTATTGGGAAAAAATTATTAGTCATTCTAGTAATAATATGTTTGGAAGGTTTTCTAATTGTTATATTTGATAGAACTTGTTGAAATATAATTTTGGATGTTTTTAAAAGTTGTGTGTATCAAAAAGTAATTAAAAGTTTGATTTGGATGAAAAAGTAGATGGATGCACATTTTGGTGACTTTAATTGTATCCGACACCCAATTCAAACTTAAGTAGTATGTCTACCCCAATTATCAAACTTAAGTGGTACTCGAGGTATTTTACCCATAAAACTAAACTTGAAGATGATAATTCCTCTAAATCTTGTCGAACCACTTTGACATTCATTATCGCCGGATTGAGTCTGACAATCTTTCAATATCTCCTGTTAGTTAACGTATCGTAACCATAGTTGGAACTTAGAGACATCATCTAGACAAGGAGAATGTCTAAAAGCCCGCAAAAGAAAAAAAATTCTTTCTCCATGGACCCTCTCCACAACGCCAATGACTATCACATGAGTCAAGGATCTTGAGGCAACGATATTGGTAGCGTCTCGAATGGTTAGGAGCTATGTCACGTAGGGGTTGACAACTCCCTGATGACGCAAACGAATGCTAGCACCACATGCCCGTCTGACCCACGAACAACAAGACCAGACGAACACCCTGACTCACAAATAGTTGCGTCAAAGTTGACCTTCAATAGTCGTCTGGCTGAGGAACCGAGGGGACAGGAGGAGGGTTTGGTAGGAGCGATCTGCGGGGTGGAGGAGGGGGGAGAAGATTGGAGACTTTAAGGAACTTGTTGTAGAATTTTCTGGCTAGGGAACGGACATGAGGTTGGTAGAATTCAAAATTCACTTTATTTATAGACTTCCAGATTCTCCGAAGTAAGCAGATGCACTGGAGAATGTGGAATGGGGAGGTCTCAGAGACCATGACATGTCGCCACCATAAACTAAAGTTAATAGTCGAGCGAAATCAATGAATGAAGTTGCTCAATCCAACTATCGTCCACAACTTGGTGGCTAGGGGGCATCTGAAGAATAAGTGTTCAATGATCTCTCGATATCTCCAGCAAATATGGCATTGATTGAGGCAGTTAACTCCACGGGATTGTAGGGCCACTACTACGGGGAGAATGACCTTGAGGCATTGCCATATGAAGAATTTAAGATTAGGCCGAACTTGGATATTCCAAGTCTTTTTCCAAATGGGAGGGTCGATAATATGAACTATCGATATCTTACTTGAGGCCAGAGCCGATTCCAGAACTAGATGATAACCCGACTTGACTATGTATTTTACATCTTTGGCGTAGTGCCATAATCTGATATCCCGTTGGTATAAAAGGAAGTGATTAGAGGACAAATGAATTCAATGATGGGCGGATGAGTGCTTGAAATCCCTATAGCATTGGTCCAAATAGGCGACTGTTTTGTATCAATGGGTTGCTAATGGGGCTTTAAATGTATGTTTGAATTTATTTTTGAAACAATTCTCCTAAAGTAAGGTTCGTTAGATAGGGAGGCTCTGATTTATTGGACTAGGTAAAGCTCATATCCGTTAGTAAAATGACTCTTTAGAAGCTTAGTTATTGCATTTCCGACGCAAGTCGTTGTTAGGCGTACTGCCTCGTTACCGGATTGTAGTAACCAGCTTCTAAATTGTGTCTTGGTCGTGTTTTGGTTTGGGTTTCCCCTTATATCTCGCCTGTCTTTATGGCGGATGCAGAGGCCCCAAGAAGCTCTGTTATTTGGACCTTTAGATAGCTCTACCTTGTCATTTATTAGACAATTTAAAAGCCCAATTAAGGCGTTTCCGGCGCAAGCCGTTTCAGGGTATATTGCCCTGTAACCGTTAGAAGGAATAATGATATTAATTCCATTAAAACTTGTCTTGAATGTGATTTGCAGGTGGTGGCGTTCATCGGGGAGGTTGGACGGGTTCCGGTGATCCTCCGGTGAGAATGCGAGGATTCTTCGTTGTCTTCAACACCAACAACTTGTTCCCGGAAGAAACCCAAAAATTGCCTTCTTCTTCAACCACCAGCAACAACGGCAACGACTTGCACATTCTTTAATATGTTGGTGATGGATGATGACGCCGGAGGAGAGGAAAGAGATGAAGCGGCGCCTTCATTGGGAGATCTGCATTCCCGACTGTTGTCTAGGTAGCAGTAACACTAGCCAAAAACCCAGAAAATAGTTTAATACAATAATATAAAATTAGCGATGACAATTACAAGGTAATATGCATGAATTGATCTGCCCCAATAAGTTATGAGAAAGTATTACCAGTCCCGCAAGTATTGTGAGGGAGGACATGAGTGTTATATGCGGCCCGACTTACCCCATTTGACCCTCTTGAGCTAAACTCTCCCCAATTTTTTTACACATATTTGTGGTCTTTGGCTCCTCCATAAAATAATATAGTTACTTGGTAAAACTCTTTCATTCCTGTAATAAAATAAAATAAAAACTTTCATTCCCTAAATGAATTCTCTTCTTTACTGATTGAAAAAGTGTTTTCCGTCTGTTTTTCATGTCAAAATTGAGATGCTTACATTTTTTTTTTCTGGTCACATTAAAATGGGGCGATCAATACAGACTCGCACTTGCACAAATATTACACAACTTGACTAGCAATTACTTAACATGGGACGACAGCTATTGAGATACCGCCCGTCTTATTGAGCTTCCATCAGAAAACAATAGGGTATTATGATTTTGCACTGTGCTTCACAAACAACCACAGTATTATTTTATTCCACTGAGCAATTAGAAAAAACAAAAAATAAGCCAAGAACCACACCTTATGGAACAAAGCTACCGATTATGATCACAAATACAGAATGATACAAGGCACACTGAGGAAAATCGTCCTCAACACCTATCATACACAGATGGAGCAGGCAGCCATCCAGCTAAACCTCCGAACAATATCGATAAAGAACCAGCATTGCGCAGCAAATCTGCTTCGGTCGCAGGGATAAGAAATACATGGGCTTTAGAAGACATTTTGTCACGGCCATGGCCCCTAATCTTCGTTATCTACAACGTCTCTGGGTGTGCTACCTATTTCTCCACGAGGAATACAGTACATTTTGCCTATAAGATACAAGCGCAAAGAACCTCTGTTAGCCTGCCTGACCTGACTGCTCAGATTTATCCAAATACTAGTCGGCCGAAAGTAACCTGGGCATCTTCTAATCGAAATTTGATGGTATGTCCAGTTCTGTATCCGACGGATTAGGAAGTTCGATGAATGGCTCCTGTTAAAATAATAACGGTTTTAGTAATGGATGATATTTCAAGAATTGCTGCTGCTAAATGTGGAATGATAACTCCCCACGGGCTGCTTATAGATCTGCCTTTGTAGCCTTTTTAAGACCGACTAAGACAGATGCAGCTTATACCAGAATTCCTTCTTACAGGGGGAGAAATTCAGTGCAGGAAAATTAGATTCACCAGACCGAAAGAAACATATGGAGCACAGCTGAAGAGCGGATACTAAGTTCTGCTCCGGCTTAGAACTGCTTGCATTTTCTTTATTAAGAAGTAGACACTAGAGTGATCCTGATAATAAATTTTCAAACAAAAGACATCAGGTGACCAATTGATACATAGGGCATCATACCTGATCATCGTCATCGTCTGCTGAAGAATGGACCACTCTATTTGGCAACGGGTTGGGCATATCTGCTGCAGTTTCTTCTGAAGCCTGCACAAAATGGCAACAAGTAGCTAATGTAGGTGTCACATGGTAATTAAGGGAAAGATGCTTATAAACATACTGAACCAACTGATATTCTATAAACGGATGCTCTCAAAGATAAAGTTAAACATTTGGCAACTAACAACACGTCAAAAGTGGTCAAGTGCATAAGAAGGTTTCTATGCTTTTTTTTTTTTTTTTTTGTAACAGGCCAATAAAGAAAGATGTGCCTCTATCTATCAGACTTCTCTGAGATCAGTACTAGAAAGTAGAAACTATACCAGCACAAGGATACACCATAGGTTCAGTTGCAAAGCGTACCTCTTGATCTGGATTAATAGGATAAGTGGACCCTCCAGTAATGACCTCAGAAGCAACATTATGAACCACCTGAATATCAACAGATATACATGGTAAGACGAACAGGATTTAAATTTCAGAGGTCTTAAATGAAAGAGGCAAGAGGAAAAGGTAAAGGCTTTACTGGATTTCCGGGTAATTCTCCTCCAGCAAGAGCTGGCTTGACATCAGCTGGGGTTCCCTGCAAAGGAAACTTTTAGATGTTAGCCAAAATGTAATGACACTATTAACTTGAACTATTCACTCACACTACCAGGAACAAGACTTGAATTACTGATGAAACAAATTTTGCAACCAAACATCCTAGTTATGTTGCTCACGAAAAAAAGAAGACAAGAGGGGGGCACTAAAAAATCCCAAAACCAGATATCAGAGTACAGAAGTTATCTGTTCTTTACATACAGGTTCAACTTGATCTACAGGTACGCTCCTTCCACCTTTACTGAGATCTCTCAGCGTACCCTGCAAAATTATGAATGCAAAAATAAAACAGTAAGCAGAAAAACATGAAGATACAAAACAGCCAGCAAATTCAAATTTTAATCAATAACAAGCAAAAATAACAGAGTGGTTTTTGTGATTGAGGCTTCTAGATCAAATGCAAAGCATAAACACCAGAACCTACAGCCTCACTTCACCTTGAGAGTACTAATTTGGGCAGGTCCTATGCAAACACCAGGTATGTTATGTTGACTTTCTAGATCGCCAGTTCAATCAATTACTCGAGAACAGTCACCGCACAATTTTATTGGAAACCACAAGGCTATGAAGAGTATTTTAACGGGAACAATTTACCAATTAAAACTCTACAAGGGTTATTCTTGACGAGCTAAACCTTAAAAGCAGTTCAAATTCCAGAAGATCAAATTGAACCTGCAATGCTCCTAGTTTCCACAACAAAAAGAAGGCGGGGATACCAAGAGAAACAAATTGGATCTATAAGGATCTCTAGCCCAAACTTTCAGCTGGCTTATATGACTAAGCATGATCAGGAAACGAACCAGTCAAGCAGAAAGCTAAGAAAATCTTTCATTCCTTTAGTCTGACCTCTGACATCTAATTGCGCCCTTTAAATTTTGTTCAAAATATAACATTATTTTTAATTCCATGCAACGTACATTACTTTTTACTCCACGGCGCAGATAGATTGCCAACTATGCTCTACAAACCAGGAACATTTAAATTCTAATCAGGTGCAGAACAACAAAAAATAGGTGGAACTCTTGATGCCCGAGTTCAACTATGATAACAAAAATAAACACAGCAGGGGAAAAGGAAAACATAGACCACCTTATTAGCCCACATAAGGCCACATGCATTACACAATGTCCTCGGCCCAGCTGGTCCACGACGCATCGCAGGAGTATTGTTCTCACCAACACCACAATGTTGACATCTCTTAATGCTTAAAATATTGCATGTAACAGTTAGAAAGGTAATTCCAAGCTAGTACTACATGCCTAGAGAAACTAAATGTCTGTCAAGTAATGAAATTATCTTCAGACATCATCAGCATGAGAGATTCTCGATGCAAAAGAAAGCCTATGAAGCACAGGGCTATCAACTCACACAGTTTCCTGCCGAGAAGTGCCATCGTGAGGGGAACTCTGTGCAGAGTCGTAATTTGAGGCACCTGAACTTTCTTTCAGGGAAGCAAATTGTCCATTCTTGCGATGCATCCTAATGATTTATAAGAAACCAAGGAAAAAGACAAATTCTGTCAATCGCGAAAGCCCATTGGTGATATGCTCAAAATCTCAACAAAAACAACAAAAAGAAGGAAAAGAAAGCATCTAGACACCACTTCAGGAAAGCCACATCCAAGTTCAGCTTCCAATTCTTCAAGTATGATTCCATAATTGTATTTGTTTTCCAGTATACACACAGAGTACATCTATTCTCATGAATCCTGATAGCTTCCTTTAAAGTGATCCATTTCTGTGTCCACAACACATGCAGGGTGTTTGTCACTATTATCAATACCTGTAACTCTAATCTGAGCTGTTTGCAAAGATTAAAACTTGAAAAACACCTTGAACTACAAAAGGTCCATCATTTTGACAGTAGTTCAACAAAGGTCAACTTAAGCAGATAGATTCAAACCCAGACACTCTTTTACTAGTCTCTAACTAGCAAATCAGTCAGACATAAAAGACCAGAAGAACCAAAAGTAGGAACAAAATGTTCAACCATGTGGATACCTCTGTGCAACCTCTTTTCGTACACTGTATCTGATTTTCTTGTCGAAACATCGCTCCTTCCTCTTCTCTCGAAATCTGACAAGAGAAGCTATCCTTCTCGAGAGGTTAGACCGCTTAGGAGGATCACCCATACCCTGCGGGTATGGCAAAGCGAAAAAGTGAGCATAACTGCAGCAAATCCACTACACTGACTGCCAATCAAAGCCTGGATTACCCACCCGGTTGCCTTGATCAAATGGTACTTGAAAGGTCGGCACCCCTGTTGGCGTATCCCGTCCTCCCAATAGCAGCAGCACTGCTTGCACCTGTAACCATGAATCCCATTCCCTTTCTTTTAGTAATCGGACACTCAAAGCAAGTCAAGCATCCTAATTCTTTTCTAGTCTAATTGAAGCAAGGGGAACTTAACCTTTTCGGGAGTAACGGCAGGGAAAACATAGACTTCGCCCTCAAAAGACAGAGTGAGCTCGCTGGTCCTGCTGGAAGCCATAGCCACACCACCACCACCAATAACACTTCCACCTTCTGGAGTACGAAGATGGTCGGCCGCGTTGAAGGCCGCCGAATTCACGACCGCATCTTCCACGTCATCGCCGTCATCATCATCCATGTCCATGGGGCCGACAGCATCGTAGTCATCGCCTCCTACTCCTATTCCTCCTCCGTCATCTTCGTCGTCTTCGATCCGTACCAGTAATTCGACGTCGGTTTCCTCGTAGGGACGAGCCTGAAGCGGCTGGGGATTCGTTGCAGCCGCCATTTAGCGTGGAGAGAAAAGAGGATTTTAAACTAATATGAACCCTGACTTCTCCTCGCGGCTTCCTCCCTCACCGTTGTCTCTGCTTCTTTTCTACATGCCGCAAGCTGTAGCCAGCAGAGCAGCTAGACCTGTTCCATTGCAAGAAACGTTTCGCTTTTTCCTTCACTTGAGACAAAGGGGCTTCTTCAATAAACCCTAAGGGCAGCGTGCGAGGGAATCCTGCTGAAATTGAACGGGACTCTGATTTTCAGCTGAAGAACAAGAAGCAGCAGCAGCAAGAAAAGGGGGAAGAAGACGAAGACTAGAAGACGAAGACTGGAGAAAAAAAATGGCCTGAAATGGCTTATGGATTGCGCTCGGGTGTGCGCTCGTGCTTCCTTGAAGAGACTCTATTTGGTAATACAACCCTCATTTTCTTCAATTGTTTTGGATTTTTCTGATTTTATCTAGAGAGGTATTGTCGGTAATATCCTTGTACAATTGCCCTGAGTGAGTCAGTCAGTCCACCCTGACTTTAGGGAGAAAATCGTAAGTTCGTTATGATATTTTCCCCATATGGTACTCCTCCTTGCAGCTTTCCTTTTCGTGGGAAATCCTTAAACGGATAAGGCGCAAATAAATATTTATCAGTAAAGAAAAAAACCTGGAATTTGTGACATGCATTATTTGGAAAAGAAAAAGGGAAATGTGGCCGGGGACTTTTCCATTTCGGTGCTGAGCGTGAGAAATGCCAACTTTGGTTGCGGGACAATGGAGATTATGGAATAGGGATGTTAATCCGCCTGCGGATAGTACTCTTCCGCTCTAACTAGTGATGGCAATGGGTGGGGTGGGGTGGGGCGGGATGGTTATATGCCATGTTTCGCTCCATGTTACTATAGGTTGGAGCGGGTGGATCGACCCACTTTGATATGTTATTTGAAAAATGAGCACTTCTACTATACTATATAGTATTGGTGTTTTAATATATAACTTGAAGTTGTACCATAACATTAAATGTATAAGTTTAGGTTGTACTATAATGAAATTTGTACAATTATGTTAAGGTACAACTTTACAACTTGAAGGTGTACCATCACATAAATGTACAATTTAAGTTCTACCATAAAAGAATTTGTACAAAACGTATAGGTACAAGTTGAAATTGTACCATAACGTTAAAGGTACAATTTCAAGTTGTACCATAAAGACAAAAACTTATAGCACCAATACTATATAATATTGTTCAATTCCTCTTGAAAAAGATACATGCAAATTTTACTTTTTATGATAAAATAAAGGGAAAACATTTTATGAAAGAAAAATATTGATAATAGAATGGGAAATTGAGTCTAAAAAGTTCAAATATTGACTCTCACTAGTTGAATAAAAGTCAAAGTAGAAAAAATATGTATAGATACAGTAAGAAATTGAGATAAAATAGCTCTAAAACAGGGCGGGTCGGAAGTAGATATCCATGCCCCGCCCCACGCTGCTACGGGTTGGGTAATACCCGCCCCATCGCGGGTCAAGTCAAATAATACCCGCAGGGTGGATTCAAATTGCCATCACTAGCTCTAACTAACCCGGACCCAGAAAGAAAATATTTTTGTTGTACATCTAATCCTAATAATATACAAGTAATTTATGGATGTGATTAGTCCTTAGAACAATATAGTTGTAAAAATCTTTTTGATAATATAAGAATATAGGCGTCCGAAGGAATTATTTACGATCATGCTCATTCAATTTTATTTGATGTTTTAGTATGTTTTTAATCTCAAAGTGACTCGTAATAGTGAATTATCTCCTTTCAAAACTCTCTGCAATGTTAATGATATTTTTTATTGATAAAATGTAAGGGAAACCAGGGAGAGAATGCATGAAAGACATCAAGTTAACTAAGGGTTAAATGCATCAGGTGTCACTTAACTAGCAAAAATGTTGAACATTAGCCACTTAATCGTATTTTGTTCCAATTAAAGCATTTAAGCCAAACTCTGGTAGGAACGTCAGCATTTCCGTCGCGAGACGTAACGACAAGTACTAAATGGCACTTTTCCATGACGCATTGGCAATCCATGTTAGCAAACCTGCTGAGTCATCGCCACATCAAACCCTGGGCCCACGAAGATGCAAAGAACATAACTTGATCGGCCGACTTCTTGTCTCCCTGCTCTCTATTCAAACACAAATTCAGAAACTAAAAAGCAAAACCCTTCGTCTTTAGAGAAACGGATTCGGCAAGACAATCATGAGAAGATTGGCGGCCGATTTAGAATGATAATCGAGAGAAGATAGGTAAACAAAATTGTCTTGGTTGCCATTGTTTCTGGTAACTGAATCAGACTCATGCAACATGCAATTCTTTCGTTATTCCTCTGACTTCATATTATGTTTGGTTTTGTCTTGTTCTTAGGGATTTAAAACTAGAGGCTGAAGGAGGTAGCTTGTTGATGGGTTGAAATAGGTGAGTGGATTATGGGATTTTTACCTGATCATGCCATGCTCTGTTCGTGAGTTAAAAACATGGTTCATTCCTGTTGGGTAAATATTTAAGAACTTTATTGTTTGAACTTTCAATTAATTATTGTAACAGATTGTAGCACTACAAACTCTTGCTTCCTTCTGTTTGAGTTTAAAAAATGTGTCCAACGATCAGGGAAGTAGGAGACATTGATCACATTCCGACATATGGTGAGTTTTGAAGCAATGTTGCTGCAAATTTCTTCAGTTGATGCAGTTCCATTAACATTTAATTTTATGTTTATCTTAGGAGTCAATGATGACAATTTCACAATCGAGCTCCATTATAAAGGAGAAATAATGTATATAGTCGACGAAGACATATGCTATTTCAGTGGTGAACTCAAATATTTTGATTGGATTGATCCATATTGATTATCTTTGATGGAGCTAGATGGATATCTTGTTGAGTTCGGCTATATGGAAAGTGTCAGATTGTTGGAGGAATATAGGACAACTTATGGCTGGACATATTATTGGAGAATTTCAGGAGAGCGACTGAAGGAAGGGTTACATGAACTGACCTGTGACAAGGACATTCTGGATATGGCTACCAAGGTTATTCAAGATAACAAGTTTGTGGAGATGTACCTAATCAATAAAGAAGAATTGGGGAAAGCTAGACTAGAAGTAGATGGAGAAGAAAATGATAAAGAAAGTGACCAAGACATTCTGCAAGGTCGAGACAAAGAACAATATGATCTCAAAACTGCAGATCAACAGAAGACCAATGAAAGAAAAGGTGACAGCATGGGAACAAGTGAGAATATTCAGGAACAAGGTTTGAATGATAAAGATAAATCAAATGAGATTCATGTTGATGTTAGGCTAGATAGTGATAGTAGGGAGACTGGTATGGATTGGCAGAACAATGATTGGGAGACTGGCAGAGAAGGTGACAATAGGGAATCAAATTAGATTCATGTTGATGGTAGGCTAGATAGTGATAAGGAACCAGGTTTGGATGATAACGATGAACATAGTGATCAGGAACTAGGTTTGGATGATAATGGTGATAGTGACAACCATCAAATTTATATTGATGATGCACTTGATGGAGATTCTGAGGATGTTGTGTATGATTCGGATTATCTAGGACGTGTCCATTCAGATGACGAGGAAAAAGCACAAAGAGTACCAACTCGTCCAAGATACCCTGAGTTCAACATTGAGAAAGACATGAGTGATCCTCAATTCCGTCTACGCCAAGTGTTCAGGGACTTTGACACATTCAATGATGTAGTAAAGAATTACTATATCAACAACAACTACCTCTCAAGTTTAAAGATAGTGACAAGAGGAGAGTTCAAGTTGTTTGTAAAACAGGATGTCCTTAGAACATATGGGTAGCCAACAGATGACGGAAAGGCTGTTCAAATAAGATCAATGTTTTCTGCAACGTGAGGGTTGTATCATGGTGATCAAGGACAAGTTCAGGGATGCTAATTTCATCGCTTGGAGGTACATCCAAAGGTTTCAGGCTGATCCAGATTGGAAGACTGAATCAATTATTCAAACAGTTTCAGAAGAATATAACTGGCATTTTTCAAGATGGAAATCATGGAGAATTAGGCGGCTTATGAAGGAACTTATAAGAGGCAATGCTAAAGAACATTATCCCTAGTTGCAGGACTATTGTGGTCAAGTGCGTAGGACAAGTTCTGGTTCTACATGCTATGTGGAAACTTATGAAGACTCCAATGTTTTCAAGAGGATGTATTGTTGTTTACAACCTTGCAAGGAAGGGGCTGCCTTTTGCAGGAAGGTTGTCCTTCTAGATGGGTCTTTTTTTTAAGACAGAGTATGGGGGAAAACTATTGTTTGCAGTTGGCCTAGATGGGAATGGTGGAAGTTTTCCTTTTGCATATGTCGTAGTTGGAATTGAGAATGGAGACAATTGGACATGGTTCTTAAACCAACTATGTGTAAATCTTAATATATTTGAAGATCCTGGTGCCTGGACATGGTTAGTATTGTAATTATGTCTTATTGCATATGTACCTTGGGCATGGTTCTTAAACCCTACAAATCAAACAAGAGAAGAACAAAAGCCCTAGATTGCATATGAGGAAGTTTTGAAATATGTAGTGAATGTCAAAATGAAAGTCTAGATATATGTTTTCAGCGTACCCCACAATTGGTGTAGGCAAAGAAGCGTCTTCCGGGGTTAGCAACGGCCCACGAGGTGCGTAGAACTGCCGGTGTAGCGCATCGACACATTGGAGCTGCTGCCGCCATATTCAACTTGGAGGAAGGGGCGATAAAGAGAATGTTCCAGTACAGCTCATCTACGATTAGAGACCAAGAAGGGGAAGTTTTATGGAAGAAGAGTTTGCATTCTGGTGAGTTTTTGGGGAAGAAGATTTAGGGTTCTAGAAGAAGGGGAAGTTTTGGGGAAGAAGAGTTCAGATTCTAATGATTGTTTGGGAAGAAGAGTTAGATTAGTTTCAAAGAAGATAAAAGGAATAAGTGGCGCCGACAATTCGGTTGGGTCG